ATCCTCCCCAATTTCCCCTCTCTACACATAATCTTTACCCCCCTATGGTGGGACTACCACGTAAATCTTCCGACTTTGAATCACCTTGTTTTATGAGTCCTAATGTGAGTCCTGTGACACCCCTAACTCCCACATTTCGTCCCACCTATCTTCCTAGTTATGCAACACCGCAAGTATTTTTCCCACCCGAATTTTCTCCAGTCAATTTTGTCAGTCCTTGTCAAAATGTTTCTCAAAATAGCGATTTTTTAAACAGACGTTTACATCAGACTACTTTTCTATATACATTTCCTCAATTTTCGCCAGTCAATAATCAATATTAATAAGTATATTTAAGTGTAGACATTAAATTATTATATGTATAAGGGTATATTTGAAATGATAGTACTAAAAAATTATTTATATTTTATTTTTAAAAAGTTTTATAACATGTAACGCTGTATTTTTTTGAACAAATTCATAGCAATTATTATTGTAACTTAACTATTCAATTACATATTATTGTCTAAAAAGTATCCTTTTACTTTTTCAACTAAAACATCTTTTTTATCTCTTGTGGTACAATGAATGAGATGATCTTTGAGCCAGTGTCTTAGTGTAGCAGTTGAAAGTTTACTTAGAGAATCTTTTTGATAATATTCTTTCATATCTTCAATTATTTGGGGCTTGGGTTTATTTCTGGACTTTTTAATGGGTATCTAGACATGAATAATTTGATATAATGTGTTTTTTTAAAGTAATGCGAAAAGAAAACGTATATACAAAGTACCTAGTACTGATTTACTTCAAGGAATGATTATAAACTTACTATTTCCCCTTCTGAAGCGGGTCTTTTTCTGTTAGGAGTTTCATTTTCTGTATCTTGTTCCTGTTTTTCGTCCGATGTAGGTTCCATTTCAGCGCTCACGTCGATTTCTAATGATTTTTCTTCATTTTCGCACGATGCTTTGCTACTATCCCTACTTTCTGAACTTTCGGCAAGCGAATTTGAACTAGTTTTTAAAGAATTTTCTTCGTTTACCATAGGTGCGTTTGAAACTCCTGATGATACCTTTCGCATTCGGAAATTTATAAATTATGCTTTAATCATACAAAAGTTAATATTAATCTTGAAAGTACTTACCATGTCGTTCTTGACCATGTTTGATGCTGTTTGCGTCGCTTTGGTGAATGCATGCATATGTTTGTATTTTAGAAAACATGCTTACTTGATAACTAACACCGTGTTGCGAATTCACTATAAAACACACTTCCTTATGTAATCGAATAAACTTTAAATATTGTTAGAACGTAATCGATTTTTATTTCATTTTTTTTACTTGTTTAACTTTTTCCCGCGAAACTCTTAAAAGTATTTAAAAGTTATTAACGAGTACACATTTGAACTAAAGCCAGGAAAGAGAAGTAGTGTGTTTGTTCATAGTTCTAATCATAAGTAGTTTAAATGTATAATCATTCAAAAATCATATTTAACCTTAAAAATTCAAAAATTTCAAAGTTGACCTTTCCAAATACTTTCAAATTAATTCAAATTTTATATTTCATAATTAGTAGTATTTATTATTTTAATTTTAATAAAGTTAATAA